CCCTGCCAGGCCGGAATCCCGCTTGCTGCTCTCGGGTCAGTATTTCGCGAGCCACCGTAAGGCTACGAAGCACAATTGACGCCAACAGTCTCGTTACAACCGGGGTCAAGCTGATCCCCCTGTGGTTACCACACTCACTACGCGCCCCTTTTTTGAAAATGGGCACTATCACCGATTCTCCCCAGTTGTCTGGGACAGACTCCTTTTCCCAAATACAAGCAAACAGGTCGGACAGGCGCTGACTGAGGACTTCACCCCCGTCTTTGAACAGTGCGGGTGGAAGGTCATCCGGACCGGGAGCTCGGTGGCGCTTGAGAGAACATATGCAGTCGTAAACCTCCGAGGCCGTAGGTGGTTCCACGTTCACCGTCCACGGTTCTACTTCACTTGTGGGCTGTAGATGAGTGCCGGCTGGTGGCCAAGACATTTGTTGTTCAAAGTATTCAGCCCACCGGTCAAGGCGTTCCTCCTTATTCGAGATGATCGTTCCATTCTGATGACTGATGCTTCCACTCACAGGTGGTTTCCGGGGACCGGTCGCACGGATCAACTGAAATAATCTTCGGGCATTACCTGGTTTCTAGGCCTCTTCCACTTCTTTGGCTTTCTGTGTCCACCATACTTCACAGTCGGATCGCAAACTCACCTTCACTTGACGTCTGATGGCTCTTCGCATCGGATTATGTTCGGAACCGGCTGGGATATTTCTTCGAGATTTAAGTAGTGCCACTGTTCGGTCTGATATCCAGTGCTTGAGTGCCCTTGGTGGTGCCGTGCCACAGGCGAAATCCCTAGCACTATGCAAAGAGGTGGCAATCTCGTCCCAGTATGAGTTCACATCTGATGGTGGAGCATTTATAAGAGACTCCAGAAAACGATTCTGGTAAGTTAGTCCAACATCCGGATCTCAGTTTCTCAGTTGCCAAGCGATTTGTCCGCACCTTACGCGGCCCCGGAAAACGTAGGGAGAAGCGATTCCGGAGGAGCGCGTGGTTGGAGTCTACAAATGTGTTCCGGCAGTCAGTTGTTGATCCGCACCATCGGTAACTGATGGCAATGTGGTCGATTTGAGTTTGTGGCCGGCCTGTTGTTGGAGGACACCATTTGCCAGACGACTTCGGCTATTTCGGAAGTTAGTACTGCATAAAAACAGCCTGAGATCAGCAAACCGCTGGAGTAATCGTTCCCCATTGTCCATACGTACCGAGTCCAATCCATGTCGACCTCCTAATGGAATCTCAGATGCGCTAAGCCTGCCCACCTATGCATTCAGATCTCAGGCAACCATCACGATGTCTGAGCTTTTAGCTCGTTGCAGCAGGGCGTTCAGGGCTTCAAAAAACCTGTCTTTGACGGCGTCGGAGCTATGGTCGGTTGGGGCGTAGGCAGACACGATAAACAGACATCTAGCAACTTCACGCTTGTGAGACTTACCCACAAAATCCACTCGTAAAAAAATACCTATCTCAAAGGCTGTAAATCGCAACATCTACACGAACTTATTCCAGCATAAGAAACACCAGACGAAGACTTCACCCGCTCAGATTCCACCACATGGCATCCGAAGAATAGGTTAGACTTCTGCAAAAGGCAGAATCAACACTGAATAGTGCGACGCATTCAAAGCACAACTAGTGCACCAGAGCTGACTGCACCACTTAGTCCAAAGCACACACACCATTGCATATAACATGCACATCTACCCACCAACACAGCGCTGATGACTTTACCTCGTCTAATGGTAAAACGTCTGCAACGGAATCACCAGTTCGGCAAACATACCAGTGGTGTCAGTGTTTTCCCGAAAATTCGAATCTGTAAATGATTGAAGTGTATCACAACAGAGTATGAAAATAACTGCAAATTCAATGTCAAGCATGAGTTGAGAATTGTTACCCGGACGAATATCTGTTTGTGAAGAAAGGAAGTTTGACTCGGAGGGACAAAAGGTCTGGCAGAAGCAGAAGAAGAAAAGGTCGGTGGCAAAAGCGCATTCGCAACTAAGGAACCAAAAAATACACTTTCCATACTATTGCCGAGTGTCTTTGCAAATGATGGACTAAGTGAACCAATTATCTTACAGTGGAACTTCACAAAAAACAAATTATTTCCCAACTCCGACGAGTACCAGTCAGATCGTATTGAAATTCTCGTTAAATCAAGTTTTCACACTGAATTACCGCACTATGATTTGTTCTCATTAGGACGAAAAGGAATTTTGTTTTGTTTTAACCACCAATCGGATAATCTAACCGTCTGGGAAAATAGTCTGAATTTCCAAGTGGGGCTTCATCGAACTCTGCTGATAACATGGTCGCGGGTTCGAATCTCCTTAATTATTTGTGATATGCCCATAATCCTCAGAGTTCCATCGCAGGTTGGCTCTACTTGTGAACCTAACTTAAAACGGACATTTGCGAGTAGTAAGCATATAACTAAGCATCAAACTCAGGGTGGACCTGAGAATCACCAGATGATGCGCTTGAATGTGAATATGTTTTTCCCGGTTGCTAGGAGACAGGTTGTGAGAAGCAATCCAGATTTTCCTAGCAAATACAGGGCAGAAGGTCAAACATGCTCCGTTGGTTAGAAAAGTCACGCTCAACCTCATCCAATTTACCTAACAAGATGTATCAGATGTCTAGACTCACCTGAAAAAAGCAATCGAATGCATTTTTATATATCTTCGGCTGCCCACTGAGGTTGGACTGAACAACGCGACTAGCAATAGTCCGGCGCTGATTTAGTAGACGTGTCTGTGGGGAGATAAGGGAATTGAGTCAATTAATCCAGAAAGACTAGATTACCACACGATCGCACGGATAATGCGGGGAAAAACTGAGCCGAATGGGAGCAAACTCACACGAATAACATCCACCGGGTTGCTGATTAGAGCACCTAAAAGACCGGCCATGAAACTGGAACTGTAAATTAAACGGGAAAAAGATAGTGGTATAAGCAAAAGTCAATGCGCATCAGAGAGGAGGTGGTGGTGGTATTAGCTCGAAGAATAGCAGTAGAACGGAGGGAGGAGGTTACGGTAGAAGATGGCTCGCAGTAGGCACCATCCGAAGCTGACTGCTAACAACTCCGAAAATCAGTATGCAGTTTTCAATTGCGTGTAACATAAGAGAAAACGTATCCCGTGCAGACCATAAAAGTAGATTGTAAATATGTGAAAAGATTTTGGCCACCTTCGAGCAGTAATCCAGTATAGTTCGTTTTGCACCCGAGGACAACGTTTTTGCGTCGGGTTGGTCAAGCACGGTAACCTGTACACAAGAAAGCGCGAAGACAATACGAAGTGCTAAACCAACCAGTGTGCATGGTTGGCAAATGGATTAGGCAACTCCATTAAGAAAACACATAAGTAGTCACTCACTGTTAGGCACACGAATTTGACTTGAATGCTTGTGCGAGAATTATTTACTCTAATCGATCGCGCAACAGAAAACTTGCTGCTATTCTGTTACGCCAGATAATGTTTACTGTCGAATAACGGTCGTTGAAGCAGGTCAACTCAGATCCAGCATGCGCTTCAACCGATGATTCTGACCCAGGCCACTATGAGGTATCTCAGTGTGCCCCGTAAATGCACCTTTCCATACGAGGCTATGCTGGTGCAAGACGGATTTGAGAAGTTAGACTAAACCATCAGAATTCTTTGATCCTTCGAGAAGTGATATAAGATGCGGCCGAATAAACAGAAAGTCTGTCCAGATCTCCTGCCCCACAGATTCACGGTCGATTTGTCGCAGTAACCAATGCAGAAGGGATGAGGGGAAGCAATACGGTGGACTTTTGGACATCAGGTAACCAGAGTTCTGTGTAGTCGAAACTGTCAAACTGGGTTCATCATCAACAGCAGCTGTAAAGACTGTGTAACTGCTGTACAATGGTTCTAGCTGCCACAGTTTTGGTCACCGATGATTCGAGGAGGTAGGGTAAATACCGGGTTATCAGTGGACTTCTAGTTGGTGGGGTTCGGAAGGGAGCTTTGCAATGAAGGCAATAGCTTGGATGCATGAGCGCGGCATGTCTAACAAGTGCCTTTAAGCATTGACGTGTCCTGTCTCTGAGATCCCATTATGAAAGACGGCAATGGTCAGCGCAATTGAGTTTGCTGGCAATTGCTTCATTACTTCGCTGCCAAATCTTGCTTGACCTCCCCTGACTCTTTACAACCTTCGCGTGGTTGTGCGAAGAGAGACCTTCGAGAAAGTCGGTCGAATGGCAAACGGAGCGTGCGGCCAAGTCAGAGCAACCTATGGAGTGTGATCAGTTTATCTATCGTGGATGAGTTAATTCTTCGGTATACCACTCGGCGTACCTCAGCATCGCTGATCCAGTGTTCCCACCAGACCCGGGTAATGCTCTGAAGACATTCATGGTCAAACACTAAAAGTCTTCTGACGTCCTCAGCGCGGGGTGGCCAGGTTTCTGACCCGTATGTAGCGCACCACAGCATTGTAAACTCGACCCTAGACGGACAAGCTAATGCCACGCCTACACCACAGATGGTGATGGTTCACGAAAGCCGTCCAAGACTTCCTAATCCAGATGGAAATGCCGTCCTTCGCGAGACCACCGGGAGTGATACGGCTGTCCATGTAGACAAGTTTATCCAATACCTCAGTCGGCTCATCCGCAAGCATAAGGTTAGGGTTCGAGCCCACCCAGTCTTGCAGCAGCACTTTGCAGGTGTGAAGGGCATGTCAAACCGTGAGGTTAGATTAGATTATTTATCAGATTAGCATTGTTATTTATTATTATTATCAGATTATTTAATAATGTTTGGATTACATTTGCGTCAGATCCAAGAACTGTGTCGTCTGCGTACTGGATATCTGCGGGCGAACGCCCTGGAGCAATTCGGTCCCACAGGTATCAGAGGCTGGTAGTGAGTTTTCCATAATTGCATCAATGACGAAGTTGAAGAGGAAAGGTGAAAGGAGACGGCCTTGCTTGACACCGCTTGATGTGGTGAATTCAAGTGGGAGTACTCCGTAGACTTTCGCACGTCTGCAGGAGTTGGCATCCGAACTGGGATACAGTCAATTTTTATGAGTCCGTGACCAGGAGAGAGCTAAGGCTGGAGATGTAGAAAAGCCTACATTCAAGATGCAAGTGATTTAAGTGGATCATTTAAAACGAAATGGACCAAACTTAATAACGGAGCCCACAAAAGTTTCTACACCCCTGGTTAATTTTTTCACCGTTGCTCAAATAGCCCATGATTACGGGTATCTTGCTACTTTGTTTTCCATATAAGAGTTCAGTTCCTAGTTGCCGTGCCGAAAATTACATTTAAGTGGAACCACTGACCCACCTTGGTGTGCACCAAGGGCAGTAAAAAGCACACGTAAGTTAGCGTAACAAAAAATGCAGTAGGCCTTAAGCAAGGTAGTCACCCGGGATACATGGCAAGATAGTAGCCGGAATCCCTAGGCGGAGATTCAAACAATTTTCGTAAACACTAATCGCCAAAAAATGCATGTAGACCGCCGGAATTGAGTTGCAGCCTTGAGCAAGATTTGAAACAAATTGTAATGTCTTGACTGGCCTCTTCATTGACGGCTTGCTTCGAAGCCCGTCAATGTGTACTTTCAAATCACGGACCTCAAGATACAAAGCGAGGCCAGCATTCAGAATACAGCTAGTCGTTTAAAATCAGGCTGTGGTGCATTTCAGTAGCCGCTAACATATATTGTTGTCATTGATGTACCTTTGAAAATTTTGATAGAACGTCCACGTCGTCATGTTGCCCCTTTTAAGTTATCTGCCAAGTTACGTTTAACTGTTCTCCCAAGTTGTGTGCACTTTGACAATGCCAGTGTGTTTCCCCATACAACCATTGGGTACGCGGTCGACAGCTTTGAGCGTCCAAATGCCGTTAGAGGCCGTTTCGAAGTTCGGTTAGGTGGCATCACAACAAAGCCTATAACAAACTCGCTTGGGACGATCGATTTCACGGTGCAATGCGCACGCCCTAATATACCATAAAGGCCATAACATGAAAGTGCACGGTGTCTGGCGTATCGCAACGGTACTTACGGAGGAGGTCAAGTAACACAGTAAGGTGTTCCTTTACCCATCTCTAGGTTTGCCCTGGTGCATGTGCATTTTTGTTCTAAACACCTATGACATTCACCGGATGCAATGTGTCAAGTGCTGGAGACGACAGGGCTGGTGGGAGAAGGATGGTGAGCGTGTGACGGACGGCTGTCAGACCATCACTGCGCGATCACCTATCAGCACTCGAACTTCCTTACACCTGGAAACATGCGTTCAAATGCACTCACAAGAGACCGCCCGGACACGGAGACAAAGGTATTGCGCCCACCAGAGATACTAAGTGGGGATTACCACGAACGGTGACCAATCAGGTGTGCTAACGAGAGAATACTGAATGGAGGACAGAGTGTACCGGTTCGATTATGTAGTTTTTTTATTCCAACACGTTAAATTTGGAGGACAATAAAAGGACGTTTTTGATACGTTCGGTCCCTAATTCTCCTGAGAATAGCAAGCACAGAAAAGCAGCGGCCCAGTAATCAACGGTGAGCAAGGTCGATTGTATCAATAATATTGTAGTTGCCCGGGAGAATTTAACCACATTCAGCTAATCCAAAATTATCAACTGTGATACCCTTTTAATGGACGAAAGATCATACAACATACAAGAACTGAAATACTGACAATCTGCCAAAGCACACACACGAGTGATCAAAACGCTTTTACTGGGCTTATACGACCGACCCCTCCCCTGTGGGCAGGCAGATGAACCTTAGCCAAACTGTGATTGAGGATGTGTTGACTGCCAGTTCCAAAAACCGACGCAAATGTTTGGCTTAGTTGATTGTACCATATAGGACGGCCTAGTTTGTGTTGTCAGTTTCTATCCAGATTGCCTGAGTGAATGTCTGGAGGTGTAGGCACCTCGGAATGATTGTGGTAAGCTAGCACCAAGTCCCTTCCCCGTCCACCTTTACTCTTTTCTTTACAATAAGGCTTTCAAACAAATCACGACTATACGGCAGTGAAGCATCAGTGTTGAGCACTGATGTCATGCTGTTGATGATGATGATGTGATGCTGTCATGATGATGATGATGATGATGATGATGATGATGATTTTATGGAAAAAGGCAAGCAGATGAGCCTAGTATTGTAAGCTGCATTCGGATCAGGTACAGTGGAGAAACGACAAGGAGCGAATCCACTAGGCCAACCTCTAGGGGATCCTAGCACAATCGGGCAATGTCACACAGGATTTGAAAACTTGGTTGTATGGAGCAATCTGACAGTTAGACTGACTACAAACTTTTGCCTAGACCTAAGGTGCGTATTACTCGACAAGCAGATAAGTCCCGCCCTCAAGTGAACAAAGTAGAACTTTGACCAAACCAACTGAATTTGGATAGAAGGGAGCAAGATAGTGCAGTAGCAGGATAGGAATCAATAACAGCCTACAGAAACAGAGGATGATAAAGCCTACCGAGAAGTATCAATTGGATCCGTTAATTTATAACACAGTGAAATTTCGACAGAGAATGGATTAACTCCTAAGTGGTTAATTCTCGATGTATTCTGCGTGCATCGCTATGAAAGGGAACGACAAAAATCAACATTTGGATCTAGATCACTAAAACCAGAATCAGAGCTGGTTCACCTCCGATCGCAACAATGATAAACCGAAACAAACTCTCACGATATAGTTACAAGCAGCGCGATATAAACCAACTGGACTAAGACTGAACATTTGGGCACAGGGGACCACCAACAACCGATCGAACGTACACAAAATGGCAAGCTTTTGTATCACTCATGAGATCCAACAGTATGAGCCACTTTTTGACAAAATCATAGGCTGGCAATTCGACTCCACAAACTACGGCGGCCCGAAGCGCGGTTGGATTGACACCCTGAAATTAAGGAAGCAAACTCATGAGACAGTATGAGCCACTTTTTGACAAAATCATAGGCTGGCAATTCGACTCCACAAACTACGGCGGCCCGAAGCGCGGTTGGATTGGATTCCTGAAATTAAGGAAGCAAAGGCCATTGAGTTATTGTACATTATATATATATATATATATA